CAAAGGACTATCCCCAGTGATGGCCACACCATAATGCAAGGAGAGGAGATGGATTTCAGGGCATGGTTTAGACAATACTATAGGAAGCAGAGGGGCACAATCCATCCAAGGCAGTCTTAGCTTTGTTAAACAGACAGGGGGGCAGTGCCAACTCCAGGCTCTGAGGACTTGTAAAGAAGACACTTTCAATGGGCCCCTCCTTCACTGAGCTCACCTCCTGTGTCCCCAGCTGCTCTTGCTCCTTCTCCTTTCTCCCTATGGCTACCTCTTGCCCGCATGACAGGTACAGGGCTGGTGAGTGGACGCAGAGGGGAACCCCCTGCTGCTCTATCTCATCACCACCCTCATCTGGGCCAGGACAAGAGGCACCTGGACGTGGGCCCTCGGCAGTGCCTGGTCATGCCAGCCCCGAGCACCAGCCCTAGGGAAGTCTTCTCACCAAAACAGTGGTTTTCAGCGCAATGGCCTATATTGTGCTTTGGCGCTTGCTGAGACCCACATCCCCACAGGGAGTCCACCGAGGACCTGGCAAAGAAGGGATATGCTCAGGGAGAGGAGTCCCTTGAGGTCACAAAGTCTATAGCTAACACTGCTCAGGAACCCACGAGGGAAGCCACGGCAGCTTGGAATTAAGACTGCTCTTTAATCCTTAGCTAGGGAAAAGAACAGAGAAAAGGAACTGCTTCTTACAGCACGACTCAGAAATTGAAAAATGGGAAAGTTCTAGAAATCCCATTTGGCTTTCCAAGTATTTTCTAAACTCCACCACTTTATCGTATGCCAAAACAAGGCACAATTTGTGGCCCTTTAAGAGGTCTGTAGGGAGACCACAGGTGGCAATTTTCCCAGGGCAATGCTGTGGGAAGAGGCACCTGTTGAATGTTGCTCCCATGGTCTCTTAAAAGGGACAATAGATAAGGTTCCTGCATGATAGCCTTGGCCATGCTGCCTGGGGATGATGGGAGCAGTAATCCAACACATCTGGAGGGCTCCAGGTTAGGGTTCATGGTCTGGGACATGCCCCCCTTCCTTAAAGAGAGCGGCAACCAAATGCTACAGGTGCTACTGATCTTGGGCTTTGGAAAAAATTTTCCTCCAGAATTGCTGCTTTGGACAAGTTTCACTGCTTCAATGCTACAACAGGAAATTATCATTTTTAAGTTTTTAAAAAAGTCTTATCTTTCATAGCATACCCATCTTTCATATGAGGTTGTGTTATTATTATTATTTTGCATTTTTAAAAATGATTTGTTGCCATTTTTAATTTTAAAAATTCTTCTCAGCAGTGACAGAAACTGAGGTAACATGTTTTACAGGAAAACAAAGTCCTTGTATGAAGGGGAGAAGGGGACAGCCAACGAAAGGGGAAACAACCATGAACAAGGCAAGAGTAATGGAAAATATCACACACTTGCGCACCCCCAAACAGCCCCAACCCCTAGCAGCCCCACCCTTCCCCTTCAATTCCCCCCCCACAAAAACAAAGAATTGAAAAAATTAAAAACAAAACAAGGTCTATATGGTGTTCTGAATCCTTATCTACATTATTGCACAAAAGATCAAGGACAATTGCGACCTAAGGCAAAAAGGAGACATTTGCAGCGCCTATTTCTAAAAAAATCTGTGCAGTGCCTATTTCTAAAAAAATCCTAGCATTGGCTGCCAACCCAACCCCCCTTGCACACACAAAATGGCAGGCTGATACTGAGGGAGAGGAGAGTGACGTCACTGCACTCTCCCCGAAAAACTCTGGGAAGGAGTGTCAAGATGGACCGATTAACTAGCAAGTACGGACAGGTGAAGGGATGCATGGCAGGTCTATCAGGTCACACCACAGACGGTTTTGACATTTGGTGCACCTCAAGATCGGAAATTTGCCCGAAGGGAGGGTAGAAAAGGCAGTTAGGTGGCATCCCTCATACTCTCCCCCTAACCTCGTGAACACCTGGCTAAGAGGAGGATGCAATGGTTAGATCTGGCTGGGCACGCAGGGCTGCTGTGCATCTCACAAGCTTACAAGACAATTGAGGGTTGACGTGTTCAGCAAGGGCAGATCCTCAGCACAGACCATGGTTGGCACTGATTCCTTAGAAAACGCACCCTTGGTTTATACATGCAAGCACACAAGCACACACAGACTCTGGTAAACACCAGCTGCTGGGTGATACCCCATCAAGTCGGGAAGGGCAGGCATGGCAGGATGGATGGTGGGCAGCCACTTGGTGTGTTTTGATTTTGTAAACTGCTGTTCCTTCAGAAATAGCATTATAGCCCTTGGTGCAGAAAGAACGGAGCCCTGGGGAGTCTGACACACACGCGTGTGCGTGTGCACACTTTTTCACACACAGGGTGTGCCCAGTGTGGCTTGGAGGAGACATGAGGGTGCAGCCCATGAAATGAGAGACCAAGCTGGGTTTCCTGTCCGACACCACTCCCTTCTCCACCAGGAAGGGGAGCTGGAGAGTGGATGGAACACGGACAAGGCAGAGCCAACTTAGGTTCACAGGAAAGGGTGGCAGGCGGCACACCTTCCTCTGGGGTGAGCCTTCCCAAAACAACAGCACCTAAGGACAATTAACTCTAGCGCCTCTCCAAAGAAGGGCCTCCTCACAGGTCAATGTGTCAACAGCAAAGGGAGGTCAGTATTGTTCTAAGCCCTTGGTGAAAAGCAGGTGTTGCGTCAGTGGGAGCCCCTTCGTGGAAAAAGTAAAGGGCCCTCAATTCCTGGCCACCGAAGCCCTAGTCTAACTGCGAGGTGACCTTCAAAACACTCCCCGCCATCTTGTCATTCACTTCAGGGATAATATACATGGCTTTTGGATGCATGACTAGACTTATTTTCTATCTGGGCTAATAGATTGATTTTCTCTCTGTCTGGTCCACAGTCCAGATAATGGTGTTCCCATGGCCCAGGAGCTGGGATCACCTCTGCAGTTTGGCATCGCTGCTGGCCCAAGGAGTCCACACTGGGATAGCTGACAAAACGGCCAAAGCACCCTTTCTCCACCTCCAAGCAACTTTGACACAAGTGTATCAGAACCCCAAGTGGATTAAAAAGTCAGCCCAGATCAAAGAGTTGTACGAAATGAGCCCTTGATATCATCTGAAGATCGTCATTCGACAGAGGGTATTGCAGTGTGGTGACTCTCTCTGGTAAACTCTTAATTCTGGTGCTGGTAATGTTTAGACATCTACCCCATATTTTCTTATCACTTTGTGCACAGTAGAATCTGCAGCTCTGACTGAGGTTTTCTTATTCTTCTTCTTATTTGGGACTCCAGCACACTCTCTTTCTCTCCCATTCCCGCCTGCCCCCTCCCCTAATCCAGTCAGATGGCCATGAAAAATTCTGACAGTCCTCATTTTAAGCACTTCCACAACATTAAAGTCATTCTAAGGAAGCCATACTCTGTTTAATGCACTTTTCTGCCTTGGCCTTGGTCTCTAAAGAATCTAACAGCTGCCTAGGAGGGGTATCCCTACAGGTGAACTCACGAAATCTCTCACCCACTTAGCAAGTTGGATTTAACAGGGACAATCCAGTCCGAGTTGCTTGTTGTCCCAGCAGGTTGCGAGAGGCCTTTTCTGCTCCCGCTTTGTCCCCTGCTCAGAAATACCTCACAACATGCCTGCCCAGTTCTGTCCGGGTGGGGGAAGTCACTTCCACTTCATTCTTCCAGTCATGAAACCAGAGTAATTTAGTGTTAGATCCAACCCTATTGTTCGGCCCAAGGAGCCAAAGAAAAATCTTTTTTCCTGAGGGGTGACGGCCACACAGCAAACAGCTACAGTTGACCTGACAACCATGTAGACGCACATACACACACATACACACACCTACACATGCACATATGACACAGGAAACACTTGCTACATCAGTGGCACCCTTTGCTTCTCTGGCAGCCCTGTCATATGTCTACCTCATCCTGACTCTGCGCTCAGTATTCATGGGGGCGGCGGGGGGGGGGGGGGGGGCTAGTGCCAGGCAAAGGGAAAGATCCCCCACTCCTTCCTGCCACATCCCGAGAAGAAATGTGGCCAGTCTGAATGCTGTGGATTCACCCCTTGGGCTCTCTTTCTAGGGCTGCCGCAGGGACCCCCTTGCGAGCACAACATGGACGCAGAGGCCTGTCAGGCCACCGAGGCTCCTCCCCACAGCACGCTGAGCCCTTCGGCCTCCTTTCTGGGGAGCTGCTTGCAGCGGCATTGAGGCTCCGCAGCGCACGGGGAGGGCTGCCCGTTTGCGCAAGACATATCAGTCCCGTGGTTGCTGGGCAACTAAGCCCCTGTTCGTTCCCCTCCAGTGGCCCTAAAGCACAAGCCCCAGCCACTTGGCTCTCCATCTGGCCCAGCAAACACGCCAACCCTGCACTGGCACTGCCCGTCAGACCACTGGGCTGCTCTCGCCCACTTCTGTCCTTTCATCTCCCCTCCTAGATCAATTAGTACCATTATTATTTATTATTATTTATTATTATTAATTCCTTGGCAAGGGTCGGCCTTCCTTCCCCCTCAGACAGAAACCACCCAAAGGCTGGTCCCGACTGGTGAAAAGCGAGCGGCCTGTGGGAGAAGCTCTCCCTCGCTCAGGACGTGACAGCGACGCAAGTGCGCCGCCGCCCGCCCTGCTCGTGCCACTCTCCCTCCGTGCCACCCACCAGCCCCCAAGTCTCTGGGTGAGGAAAGCCGCCTTCTGCTGTAGCCTTAGCTATTCCAGAGATCACTTTTCACACCCTTAGGGTTATTGAGTAAAAGGTGAATCGCTCTCTTTTTTCCTGTTTTTTTTTCTCTTTTTTCTTTTCTTTCTTTCTTTCGTTCTTTTTTTTTCTTTTTTTTAATCTTTTTTGCTTGAAAGATATGGAACTTGGTCCCTTGGGGGATAAAAAGGAATTCTTCTGCACACAGCCTGTCCCAGAGCAGTCGAGGGACACCGCCGCGTGCCGCCATCTGAACGGCAGGCCGCGGGGGGGCGGGGGCACAGGGGGCCAGCCGTGCCTTCCTCAGACGCAGATCTCGATGGCGGTGGCCAGCAGCATCTGGCTTTTGCCTTTGTCCTGACGCCCGTCAGTTCTGCTCCCTGCCCCTGGGGACGGGAGGCCGGGCTCTGAGGCAGACAGCCGGGAGACACTGCCTTCTGTCAGGATGGTCCTCTTAAGAGGAGTCGGGGTGCAGGTGCTGGGCGTCTCGTGGCGGTGAGGGCCAGCAGAAAGCTTGTCCCCAGTGTGCTTGCGGGAGCGATACGAGGGCCGGCGGCGGACCTCTGACATCAGATCATACTTGATGAAGAAGAAGACCTCCTTCACGGGGCAGCGCTTTTCTGGGTCGAGGGCCAGCAAGCGCTGGAACATTCGCAGTGCATTGTCCGTGAATCGGCGCCACTGGGAGGGCAGGCCAGCCAGGCGTCCCTTTTGCCACCTCACAAACTCCTCGAAGAACGTGTCTGAAGCGGAGGCAGCCTCCCAGGGGAAGTTGCCTGTTAGCACACAGAAGATGAGCACCCCGAAAGCCCACACATCAATACTGGTGTCCACAGTGAAGCCCTCGGCCCGGCCGGCCTGACACACTTCGGGCGCTGTGTACGGGATGGTCCCGCTGATGCGCTTCACCCGGCAGCCCACCTTGCGTGTCATGCCAAAGTCCGCCAGCTTGACACGCCGGCAGTCACGGTCAAAGAGGAGCACATTTTCTGGCTTGATGTCCCGGTGCACCAAGTTCTTGCTGTGCATGTAATCTAGTGCCAGGCCCAGTTGCTGCACGCAGCGCTTCACCATGTCCTCTGGAAGCCCCACCTGCGAACCCAGAAGGACACCATGAGCAACAATCTACAGGGCCTCCCAACATGTCCTGGCTGAGCCCCACGCTTCCCACCACGTTACTAACTGGGGTGGGGGGGGGGAGACTGGTGGCTGGGAGGATGGCATATTTCTGCATTCTGCTTCAAGAAGTGGGGCAGATTTTGTCCCCTCGTTTCCCTAATGCGTCCTGAGAGCAAGAATTGCTGACCAGGAAATGGTCTGAGTTCTGCAGGTGGAAGAAAGTCTTTCTGTGTCCACTTCTTATTTTATCCAAAAAAGATTGTGGGGGTGAGGGGGAACTGTCTTCATTTCTAGGTCCAGCCTGCCTGAATTATGCGATATTATTATAATGTGCATTGTTTGAATTGTAAATTGATGTGTCTTTAAAAAGGAAAGGCAACTAAGAAATTCAATAAATCATAATGAAAATACATGGGGAATGGCCAACTTCTCTCATCTCAGGAGATGTTCTATTCCTAGTCAGTTGCCTGGAGGCAGAGACTGTATCTCTTCTCACTAGGTGACCTCGGGCTCTATAATTATGTTGACATGGTCACACTGTAAGGGGGGCAGGCAGTGTCTGTTTATGCAAAGCACCACATACAAATCAGCTCACTTCCCATTTTCCTGCACAATACCATGAGACGTATAACATTATCAGCACAGAATATTTCTTAATTCTTACAATTTGGAAACCATTTTCGTTCCCCACAAGCATTCCTGCAAGCTTGTATAGCAGGGCTGGAGAACTGTTTTCGTCCTGAGGACTTTCCCAGGAGGGCTACAAATCATCAGTGGGGTAAGGAGCAAAGCAGGAGTGCAAAGGGCCACCAGTTTTCTCTCTCATAGCCACGTGCTCCACATTCATTCATATGCAAACAGAAATTAAGGTTGGTTCCAGGGGAAAGGTTTTTTTCCAAACCTTCTGGCTGGGGTAGGAAAACAGTGGGAAAATTGAAGGCCAGAGTGCCTTTGTGGGCCACATCAAGGCAAAGTTTCCCACTTCTGGCTTCTATTGCCCATCGATTACAATTTGACAGAGCAACAAGGAAATTGCTTCGGGGACTAGGTTTAGCTTAACCTCCTTCAACCTGGAATCAATAACCAGAAGACACTAAGATGAAGAGTTAGCATGAAGTATTTACAGCATCCAGCCCAGGGCTTTAGTGTAACCATAAAAACAATAGACATTTGTAGAGTTTAATTGCTGTGAGAAACCTATAGCAAAGAGCCTCAGGTAGGTATCAGCCACTTCGAATTCCTGACCTCAGCCTAGAGATGGGGAAGTTAACACACTCTTCTGCTAAAATTAATTGAGATCCTCTGGTTTTTCTTGCCCTCCCTCTTTTTTCCCCCTCTGGAAGCTTTTCACAGCTTCTAGCAGCTTTTGGCACCTTCCAGAATCCAGGGTGGCATCTATTGAATCTACCGATTAGCCACTTCTGCTTTGGCTTTCATGATTGACTCAAGTCACCTAATCCAGATTTCAACCTGGCCCAACCCTAAGTTTTCTCTTTGCCTGCGTATGGTAATATGCATTGGAGAGTCAGTGGGGCACAGTGATTAGGCCGCATGGGAGATCTGGGTTCCAGTCCCCATGTAGCCCTGAGCTCCCTGGGTGACTTTGAGCCAAACATGGACTCTCGCCCTAATCGACATCACAGGATAGTTGTTGTGCGGATAAAATGGAAAAGGGCAGAAATCTATAAACTTCCCTATATTTCTTGCAAGAGGAAGAAAGGTGGGATATAAATGTAATATAATAATAATATTCCAATTTGGTGTTCTATAAATTGTATATCATCTTTCACACAAGTGGTTTTGTTTCTTCCTGATTACCCTCAACTCTAAATTGAGGTGTCTTGGCTGAAACAACCCCCTGTAGTAATACATCCTGCCAGATGCTTTACCTATAGCTCCCAACATTTCTAACTATTGGCTATGTTGACTGGGGCTGATGGGGGTTGAAATCCAAAACTTCTACAGGGCACCAGGTTGAGGAAGGCTGGTTCAGAGAGACCCATTTTTTTGGCCATCATTGCAATATATAACATCCTGAGTGGAAAGCAGCTTGAGAAATTAACCCAATTCACATGTCGTTTAACCCAGGAATTGCCAGAGGTGACCAAAACAATGAAGGCACTTCCTCCTACCTGCTCACTGTTTCTACTTTTTATTAAAAACCCAGGAAGGTGTTGTTCCTCAGATGTTTTGTGATATGCTCAAAATTTAATCAAATTTCTGGTTTGAGTAAGGGTTTAAACATGGTTTAAACCATGTGTAATCATGGTTTGTTGTTGGGTTATTTGGAAATCATGTCCATGGTTTGCTGTTGCGTTATTTGTGAGTTATTTTATGCCATAAACAATGCAGAATTCCCAGGTTCACAAATCATGAAACAAGCCAGGAAATTGTGTTATTTGAGAGCAGACATGGCGGGTGTGCTGGAAACAGTGCATTTTGCTCATTCCTGGCAATTCCTGGATTAAGCAACCCAAGAATTGCAGTGTGACACATTTACCAGCCTGATCGTTTCAAGTTCCATTCGGGTCAAGAACCCTCACTTTCCCACAGAATGATGACTTGGGTCATCTACACAGCAAAAAAGTCCATGTAACTGATGTCTGGGTACCTGTGGTGGAATGATGTCAAAGAGATCTCCTCCAGGTGCGTATTCCTGGGCAAAGACATAGCACTCCTCCGTCTCAAAGACCACATCGAAGACCTTGATGATGAATGGGCTTGAGGACAGTGTATTGGTGATGCTGAACTCTCTCAGGAAGTTCTTCAGTTTGGTCTTGTTCTTGTTGACAAACTTAAGTGCCATCTTGGTGCCTGTGGAAGGGAAATGCTGAGAAAGTCATTTAATTCTACTGCGAAGGAGATGTTGGGAAGAATGGATCCTCCAGAGGTCACTGCCCTGATAAAACAATGGTGACAATCAGGGCAAGGAACTTGAGATGGATTCGCAATCAAATCAGTTCCACTTCAGGCTCCGGCCTCAACTTTTGGCCAAATGATAACAAAAAGATATAGGTTTGATCTGTATTAGGTCAAGGCTATAAGATTCTACACCACAATATCGCAGGAGAACAAGTAAAACTTTATGCCCCCTTCAAGTCTTACTCAGTTCTTTCTATAAGGCACTTTTAGTTCTGAGTTTAGGTTTTGTATTCATTTTTTTAAGACTCATTTCAAAGATTTTTTAACTCCATTACCTTTTGAGAGGAATCAAGCTGCTGATACAACTAAGATTACGTGATGTGTGTGATAAGCCTATAATCCTATGCTTACTTCATCTTTCCAGGCTTCTGAACTGTAGATCTGGCTATATAACATTGCATGGACTCGGATCAGAATCTATTCTGAATTCTTTATGCAATATTATACCATTCATACTTTTTAGTTGGTCAAATCATTATGGTTTGTTTTAGCAGTCAGCATTCATTGTTTTGAAATTCAGGTCACTTTCTTTAGTGCTCCTGGTGAAGACATTTTGTTGAAGTATATCAGTTGATCTTTACAAAACAAATGGCTCCTTGAAGCCCCAGCCTTCCTCACTTTTCTGGGAGGGTGGTAGAGGCAGATGCTGCCCCTGTTCTCCATTGCCCAGGGTTCCAGCAGCCACTGCATGCAGCAGAGAATTTGCTGGGACAGCACTAATGGGAGGCAAAAGGAACAGAAAAGGCATCAGCTGGGGACCCATGGTGAAGACCCCCAAGGTCTATGGCCAGCCTATTAAAGCAGGGGTGCAGAATCCCTTGCCCATGAGCCTAATTCTCCTGGGAACCCTACAGGAACCAAGCCCCACCCTGGAGGAATTCCGCCACAATAAGGAATCCTGCTGTTACCTGAGACTGTAGAAAACAGCAGGGATTCCCGTGTTCCACTTGCGTCCCTTTCTCCATGCTCAGAGAGAAACAGAACTCTGCATCTCTCTTAGCATCGGAGGTGGTGTTAAGCAGCAGCTCACTAAGGCCAGGCCTTTGAGCGCCAAATCTGTGTGAGGCCATTGACCTATCACGGGCACAGGGCACTTGAAGAGCTCTCAGGCACTTGAATCTCCCAGGATGAACTGGCCTTTGCCCACATGTGAGCCACCTCCTGCTGTTGCCCCCCCCCCCCAAATAATTCATTCTGAGTTTTTTCCTGCAACCCCCCTTTTTTTCACAAACAGGAGTCCTAAGGAGACAGGATCCCTTCAAGACACACATTCAAAGAGATTTCAGATCAGATGTAAATTAGCCTGTGCAAATGTGTGTGCATGTGTTTTTTTCTTTTTGTGCTTTGGGCCTATGCCCCAGATCTTTTTGGTCACTTGCACTATTCCTGCTCATAGAGAAATGCTGGAATAGGTATGACCACATACTGGCTGGCGACATCATTTGGTCCCCTGCCAGGAAATGGTTTTGCAGTCCTATACTGCAAAGTGAGACTTCCGGGTATCCGGCTGCCTGGACTCCACCCACGGGGGCAGTGCTAAATTCACCTGTGCTCTTGTGGGAGACAAGGTCCACCTTGCCGTACGTTCCTTTTCCCAGCTCACGGATGAGGTCGTAGTGTTTGTTGATGTCCGTGCCGGAAAGTGTGCGGATGGCCAGAGACTGCATGTCCTCAGTGATGAGCGGCACACCGCAGCAGGCCAGCTTCCGAGAGGGCTCCTGCTCAACAGAGCCTGCACTCATTGTCATGCTGAAGGAGGGAGAGAGAGAAGTGGTCAGTCATCACATTTGCTGAAAAGCCTCTCCCTGGGGTGCACCGAAGCCAAGCCGCTGGAAACTAAAGTGTGGCACAAGTTCAAAAACCAGACTAATTTTTCCCCTCTGGATTTCTAATCTGAAATCTCACCCTTCATACATTTCAACACTGAAATTAAATGTAACACAGTTCTCTCAAATAATCAGCACTCAGAACAGTTGCTTTTTATTTAACTTATATTTCCTAGTTATTTATTACTTATTATATTGATATGGTTGTTTTATTGTGTTTTTGTTTTAATGATTGTAAGCCGTCCTGAGATGCTGTGCATAAGGGAGTGCATATAAGAGTTTTAAATAAATAATCAGCACTCAGATTGGGTGCCCTCCAGTAAGGCTGGACATTCTGTGGGGAACTTTTGCTCAGCGTACCTGGAGCGGGCCCAGTTAGAGCCCGTGCAGCATAGTGCAATGCAGTTCAATGACCACCTTAGTCTTGCACATGAATGGCCCACATTCAAATCCCCCACTAAATAGTGGGCAATACGAAACTCATAACAAGCCAGAGCATTTGTCCATTTAGCCCAGGACTGACACAGGCTGGCAGCAGCCCTCCAGGGTCACCAACCCAGATCTTTGCTCCCTGATCTTTTCACCTAGAGCGATCAATCCAAAGACATTTTCTCTATGCAATGCATGGAGCTTCAGTCCCCAGAAGAAGTAGGCGGTGGTACATCCAGGGCCAGCAGAACACTTTTTACTGGGTCCTGAATGCCCAGCTGCTTCCCCCAGCAGGGGCAACCCCTCAGCAAAGCTGCTGCTGATGCACATCCAGTACTGGCGCCAATGTTGTTCATGTATCACCACCATCTTCACAGAAAAGGATTCCCTAACCTTTTGAACCTGTGGACACATCTGAGAATTTGATGTGGGGACCAGAAAATGCCTCCCATAGAGGATGTGGCTGGCTGTGGGCAAAGTGGCTACTCTAAGAAAATGAGTTAGGGAAGAAACAGTGAGGGGCAGAGGCTGTGAGGAGCTGAAACAGCAAGATATACAGAATGAACAAGGATGGGAGCTGTGAAGGGAGAGAAAGAAGGCAGCTTGAGAAAGGGACAGAGAGAAATGGTGAGGAAGGGGTGCGGGGGATGCTAGAGGCTCAGAGGAAGATTATGTTGGGCAAGGAAACAATTCTTTCCTGTCCTGCCTGCTTGCTGAAGAGCAGATCAGTGGCCAGTTCAGGAGCAGGAAAGAGAATGGGGTGCCCTAACATTTGCTAAGTGGTTTTTGAAGCTTAAAATCCGGGGGTTCAAATCCCATGCCCACTCTGAAATTTACTGGCTGGCTGGGGTATGCTGGGAGTCTTAGGCCTTTTTTCTTATCCAAATAGGCATAAAATTGTGCCTTCAGTCTGTTTTGGAACTGTGGGTTCTAGTAAAATGCAAAAAAGATCTTGCAAGCCTCAAGCCTGCCCTGTCCTGCCATACACAAACATGGTTGCCATTCATATCATAGTCTTACAACCTTGGCTGCATTCTTGCATCCTTCCCAGTCCCACTCCACAGATAGGTGGTAAGCCCAGGATGCATGCTTGCTCTGTTGATACATTCGTCTTTCTTCCTCCCTCCTGCTCGCGCTACAAATTGCTGTGTCGAACTGCTTCTCATTGACTAAAATGATCATCCGCCCCCTCCATCAGAGCTCCTCGTCTGTGCAGGTATTTATAGGCAATCCCTAGGTTTCCCTCAGACTGCAGCCTCTTCTTTCCTCAAAGACGGCACTGTTCTGCAGCCTTGTATTTCTTTTTGGGGAGGAACTGTAGCCCAGTGGTGGGGCACCTATGTGGTGTGTCAGGCATCCCAACTTCAGTCTTCAGGCAAACAGATTTTGGAAAAAGCTATCTCTAAGGGAGACTCTGCCAGTCAAAGCAGACAATGCTGAGTTTGAAGGGAAATGATCATCAGTACATGGAATAAGTTTCAGAAATGATCCAGAAGCTTCAGTTAGTTTCCAGGCCTAGTTAAAAGAACTGGTATTGACTTTTTAAAGATTAAGGCACTGGAACAGAACTTCAAGCCCAAGGATCAGATCTAACCTTCCTGGGACTCTAACCCAATTTCTGAAGTTCCCCTGAGAACTACACCATCAAACCCCGACCTCTCCCCCTTTTCCCAGACCACCAATCATTTGGTAGGTTCCCCTGATTTTATACAGCCCTCCCCACACACACACACACACACACACACATTCTAAAAGGTTGAGAAGCCTCTCCAAAGGTTTAGTTACCGGATTTACAATAAAACCTGCCAGCACTGGGGGGTTTTCTGGTATTTGCCTTTCAGTCCCACACACCATGGAACATGGCCCCCAAAAGCTTGAAATGGATTTGGCCCACAGACTGAAAAAGGTTTTGCATACCTGTCCTAAATCTTTTGGGACCAGCCTACATGATGGATTGTCTGGCTAGTCTGGGTTCTAAACCATGGTAGCCATTAAGGAAAAGGCCTTTTCGATGGCAGTGCCATTTTTGAGGAAGGCCTTCCGTGGAGAGGCTTGCCCGGCACCCATGTTGTGGTGTTTTGGATACCAGGGAAGGCAATTTCCTCCCTCCAGCTTTGTTAGTCTTATCTGACCTCTTATATAAGGGATGTCCAGTCTCGTACCCTATTCCCTCTCTTCTGGCTCAAGATTGGAAAAATACCCTCTTAGTGTTATTTTCATGCTGTTGCTCTTCTGCTTCGAATTGTAGCATTCTGTTTCGTAGGGGAAAACTTCACGCTGGCAGAAACACAAAACTGCCACTGAACATGGCAGTTGGGTATTAAATCCCTCTCACCCCCTTGGTAGCTTGTAGCCCACTACCTGATGCCACCCTCTGGTGCAGGTTAGAAGGGGTACGTGGGTCATGATCAATGTCATGATGGGAGGACGTGATGCTCTATGGAGGGGAAACATAGCATAGGCCCTGTGCAACAGTTCTACCCTCTGCAAAAACGCATGGCTTAAAATATCTGTGAGATTCTTTGGGAGCTATTTATTGGAAAACTGCCTTTACATGCCTACTTATCTCTCCAGTGAGTGACTGAGGAGGACAGGAAAAGAAGCTTGTGAGCCTGCTGTGGAAAAGTGGGGTTGCACCTGGTCCCTGAGCTGGAGGGTCTCTGTTTCTGAAATGCGGCGGGGGGTCAGATAGAGGGCTCCTGGAACTAACATTCAAACCTCATTGTACAGCATTGCCATTGTTTTTCCTCTAACTAACTTTTTCTGCTAAGAATAAAGGCAGAAGAAACACTGGGGAAATACTGGAGGGTTACAAAAGGGAGATGACATAATGTGGATATTCCATCAATGTCAGTGTAGAAGGCAGACCAGCTGCATAAAAAACATTTTGCCTGGGAGCAACCCCAGAAACAGCACCCAGCACCCAAGGACTGCCATCTCATATGTCCAATAAGGCCTAAATTTACCAGAAGCAATTCTGCTCTTCTGGTCTTCATCTCAGGCTTTCAGGTCCCTGCTGGATCACTCCTCTGAGTGCTCTGGCTTGCTATGGATGCTATGATCAGTCTCTGACAATTAAAGCCTTCTGTGTCTACCTACAGGAAATTACACTGTTCTTCAGCTTCAGTATGTTTTACCTTGTTTCCCATGCCTTCCTTGATAATTGATGCTCTATGCCACTGATGCTTGGATGCCTGCTTGACTTTGCTCCTGGATCGTGGAAGGTATCTGGCTTCTTAACCATGCTGTGACCTCTACTTGCTTGTACACTGACCACACCGGTCTGTCTGCTCCCTTACTGGACTGGAACCACAATGCTTGAACAATTGCCTGTTTTGCAACTTTGCTGTTTCCATTGCCCCATAATTCTTCTTCTCCATCATCATCATCCATTTCTATACCACCTGTAGCTGAAACTTTCTGGGCAGTTCACAGTTAAGGCACCCACTCAGATTTCAACCAGGCCCAATCCTGCTTAGCTTCCAAGTTTAGGCGGGATCAGGCACTTTAAAAAGGGGTACTGCCAGCATTTTACTTTAATGGGGCACAGAATAGCCCTATTTTCCCAAGAAGTCTTTGGCACAGCCCTGCTATCTCACCATTCCATATGCCTTTTCATCTTCCAACTTCCATCAATCCCACTCATTGTAGCCAATAGTTAGGGAGTTGTAGTCGATAGCATCCCAAGAGCACCAATCCAGGGAAATCTGCCTTCTAGTAACCAAGTTCATGTAATGGCAATCATCACATATTTCCATGGCCCACTTTGGTCCCCTTCTACTGTTTAAATTTCCAGAGCATGTAAGGTCTCACATAAATTCATCATCTTGACTCTAGTGTGCATGCATCGCAATGCACATACATGAACGCTAAAGCACCATATAGCCTGTAATTAGTCATTGCACATGATCCAGCAAGTGGACAAGCATACTTATCTTTTATCTCTTCTCATTTTAAAAAGAAGCAACTCCATGAAATACAGATAATCACAAAAGAAATTAAAAATACAATGGGCAACAAGCAAGGAGAGTCTTGGCGATGCATAATTGTTTGTGTAGAGGGGGCTTCTGAGCAACAACAAAGCTAGTGGAGGAGACAGTATTCCAGCTGAGCTATTCAAAATCCTAAAAGACGATGCAGTAAAAGTGCTACACTCAATGTGCCAGCAAACTTGGAAAACTCAACAGTGGCCACAGGATTGGAAAAGGTCAGTTTACATTCCAATCCCAAAGAAGGGCAATGCCAAAGAATGTTCAAACTACCGCACCATTGCACTCATTTCACATGCTAGCAAAGTTATGCTCAAAATCCTACAAGCTAGGCTCCAGCAGTATGTGGATTGAGAACTGCCAGAAGTACAGGCAGGATTTCAAAGAGGGAGAGGAACTAGAGATCAAATTGCCAACATACGCTGGATCATGGAGAAAGCTAGGGAGTTCCAGAAAAACACCTACTTTTGCTTCATTGACTATGCTAAAGCCTTTGACTGC